GGATAGCTCCCAGGCCCTGAGTTCAAGCCCCAGGACCGGAAAAACAAAACAAAACAAACAAACAAAAGTCTCAAGACAAGGGTGGATGCTCAGCTCAGACCTGAGAAAAAGAATGGGCATTGTAGACACAGATTTTCCTGCTAGCCAGAAGTCTTGGACATCATAGATTTGCTTAATCCAGTAGGCACAGAAAGAGCTGCTCCATAAAAAATGTTGAAAAAAGTGTTGGGAAATCAGAAATTTTGGGGAGAAATTCCATTTAAATACTTGCCTCAGCATTTAATTCACTGATAGATATATTCTACTTGGATTAAGGAGAAAACTAAACCACAAAAAAATACTCTGGATAGAAGGTCTTTTAACACAAAAATTATAGAAATATAATTATACCCCTTTATACAACACCTTTATAATAATAAAACTTAAAGAAATGTAAGATTAATAGGTGTGACTGCATAGAAAATTTAACTTATTTGTCAAAAAAAATCCAAATTAGAAGGTGTGGTGGTGTATATCAGTTGTATCCATTAGTCCCAGGGAAAACATGCAAGTGTAAGGTCCTCAGTTCAAACCCTAGGACCACCAAAAAGAAGAGGACACACTGAACTGGGCTGAGATGGCACCTAACATGATAGACAAAAGATGAATATTTCCTATATATTCACAGATGGATTCAGGCTGGAGGGAAAAGAGCGGGTTGCCAACAGTCATCTTTCCTCTGTCTCTGTAGATGAACTCCAAGTACAGGACTTCATGAAAAGATCAGCGTAGGTAAGGGTCTAAGAGAAAATATAGGCAGACAGAGACAAGTAAAAATAAAAAGTATTGAAACTTAAGCCTCTAAAAGAAAGGGGAAGGCATAAACTTTAGTCAGATGGAGGCCACACTGACATCAAGATGGAAGTTCCCTCCTGGACCTTTTGGTTGTTTTTGTGTTGTATTTGGAGGCGGGGGGGGGGGCGCAGAGGTGGGTACTTTGATTTTCATCTTCTTCCGTTTCCACTTTCCCTCTGGCAAAATGCACACACACACACACACACACACACACACACACACACACACACACAACTTATAAACAGTTCCAATACTTGGAGAACAGCAATCCAACTTGGAGAAAATTCAGAATTAAGAACAGACTTGAATCTGTAAGACAGGCAATGTAGGGAACTCCTGTAGGCACTGCACCAACCCAACCCAAGGAAGACCTGACTACACATACCTACAAGAGGACTCCAGCTAAGCAGGTAGACATAAGAACCATGGACCTAGTTTCTTGATGGGTGAGGGCAACAGAATACAGCAGGAGACAAGCACCACCAAGCTTTTCTATAATCTACTTCATCCCCAGGAATCTCATCCATGCCAATTTGATGGGTGTGAGTATACAGGCTCAGGTAGGAACTTCAACAGCAGAGTAAAGGCCACATGTTTACCCTTGAGAGGCCATAGCTAAACGGTAGGTCTTTTCAAGTCAAAGCAAAAGTCTGAGATTTTAAGCTAATGGTGCTCACTTGGTTTTTCTCCTTGGAAATATAAATGGAGTAAAAAAGTCAATGCAAGACATGAATAAGGATCTCAATAAAGATTTAAAAGAAGTGGAAAATCACACAAAATAAAATAGAAAGCATTTCCAGTAGAGTGTACAAAATGGAAGAAGGAATTTAAGGACTTGAAGAGAGTAGGCATATTGAAAAAAATAGGAAAAATTACAAAAATAATCAAAAAAATGTACAAAGAATTTGAAAGAGGGGCTGGGAAGGTGGCTCAGTGGTAGAGCGCTTGCCTTGCATGCTCGAGGCCCTGGGTTCGATTCCTCAGCGCCACATAAGCAAAAAGAAAAAAAAAAGCCGGAAGTGGCGCTGTGGCTCTAGTGGTAGAGCACTAGCCTGGAGCTGAAGAGCTGAGGGACAGCGCCCAGGCCCAGAGTTCAGGCCCCACGACTGGACCAAAAA